AACGTGTCAGGCTACTCCCAAGGTTGTGATGTTTACATTTTATGCCCAAGGCGGCATTCAATGCATTTAATTATGATTGAAGTTCAATAACAGTTTCATGAATATCTTTCTTTGGCACCAGAAGTAATTAATAAATATTCAAGTTCAATACTCAGTAATATTTTATGCATCTCATCACTGTTATCAGTGGATTGACAGATTAATATATTAACATCATGGTATTGAATTATGAAATTTATTTGGTTATCAGTGCATAGTTGGGGAATAGGAGCATATTGGCATGATGTAAAATTAAGCTTCTGCGTTCTTAAAGAAAAAAAACATGAATATACAGCACCCAGGTTTTAGAGGCGGCAGAACATGCGTTTTTTCTACACACACATGGACCCACAACATGGATAAGTTAATCCTTGCTGCATTCTTAGCATATTGGATTGCTGCTTGTATGTATATTACTGCATGTTACGGCCAAGGAACTGCAGGTCCATGGAAAAAGTAAACAGTTTGCCAATCAGAGATGCTAAAACTGCAACAAAGACAAAGCAGAGCTGCTAAAATGACAAAACGCAGCTATGTTTTCGGTAAAGGAGTTTCAGTTTGCCCCAGTGTAGCAATTTGTACAGGATTGTACTGTAAATCCCCGTTTTATGATCACCAAGGACGAAAGATATAACCTTACCAGCAATCGTACATTTTTAATTTAAATTTCCCATTTGTAAATATCAAAAGGATTATGTAGAATGTGAAAAACGGCACAAACCCAGATTCTGAGTTCAGACGAGCCACAATTTGGGGGTGGGGGGTTTCCATGTTCGGAGGTAATCTCAAGCTTGGGAAAGAGTGCTCGATGATGCAACTATGACGCATTTTACATCATTGTAACACTCTTCATAATAGCCTGTACTTGTCCCTATTATTTGGATGTACTTACCGTTGTAAAGCGCCGAGTTGACAACACCCCCGGCTATTGCAAGTCCCAAACCAAGCTTTCCCAACGTGTTGAATAACCCAGTCATCTGAGCGGCCATTTTTGGTTAACTTCTCCACACGCCGTATGACGAGAAAGACACACGATTTAAAATTTACCAAGATCCTGCCAAGAAATTCACACTTATCTCTAGTCACACTGTACAGCAAGGTCTCGACGCACAATTCGGCAATACAGCTTTTTTTCAAATAGCTACAAACGGCAACTTTCTGCACCGAATTTTAACCTCACATGTGCGACCTCAAACTGCGCAGTCTCACAATTTCTCCTTGTACAAGAGAGCCGCGCCTATTACCTCTAAAAAGCATATGTTGAATTAAGTCTTTTGGTCTAATAAACTTATTATCTTTAAAACTATTATAAATTTGTTATACTATTTTAAAATTATACAAAGTTCAATTAAACTGAAGAATTAAATATTCGGACGAGGTTTGGTAACCCTTGACCTCAACCAGCGTGGTTGGTTTCGAAACAAGTGATGCAAACACGTTGTTTTTAAAGAAATACCCCAAAGCCGGACAGAAGGTAATACTTTCATTACAATTTCTACCTTTATAACAAAGTTCTTATTCGACGAATACGCCGTTATACGAACACATCTCACATATAATTTCAGCTGAAGCCTGACGTTTATGAAACGTTTTCCTGTTAAATGTGAGTGCTTTCCAACGTTATTTGTGTTTAAATACAGTATTTCATTTAGTTGTCTACATCACTGTTCTTCAACAACTTGGTGATTTTTCAAAGTATTATTAATACCAAAGATATTAGAGAATAATGCATTTGTTTAAAATAATGTTGATAAATGGCATGAATATTTAAAATATAAGTAGCTCATGTTGTCTTTGCTTTATGCTCAGATTACTAATATATGAACATGTGCAAAATGTGGGGAAATATTTGATATTTTACACAGATTTGGAGTCATTGCCAAGTCCTGTGGGGGCAACACTTAACATCATTGACAATTTTAGGTTTTGTACATATTTTCATGCAAATTCAGACCAAATCCTACATATAATTACTGTAAAATCTGTATTAGAAACCGCGGCTTCTATTAAAATGGCATAATGCAATGGAAAGGATGCGGCTTTTATTAGAGCATCTATACACATGAGTAATGGTGAATTTTTGGTTCTCAATTATTCAGAAAGAATGGGTGCGACTTCTATTAGGGATGCGGCTTCTAATACAGATTTTACGGTAATATTTTATTGACACAACACTGACACAGAAAAGTACAGCATTATGTCTCAAAAAACTAAAACTAAAACATACAAAATACAACAAGACTGGGAATTATAAAACTACAAAAGTACCAAATAAAGGGTAAATATTACCAGAGATAATGGCATAATGGAAATGTGCTATAATAGCCACAGAATGGAAAACTATTACTATGCAGTGTAATTTGATTTTTAGATCAGTATAAATTTACACAATTTGTTGTAATTTAAAATTGGTGAAAGCTGCTAGTACTGATAAATATAATATCCAGAAAATAGTAGTAGATACATACAATCCTTGGTAATTATTTAATATTAACCAGACATTTTGACCAAAGTATTCTTTCTCAATACTAGATAGGTGTTCGGTTTGAGCGGCTAACTTGCATGATGCAAAGTGACAAGGGAGGTGATCGTTACGCCATGTTCAGTATGATCCATCCAATGTGTACAATGTGTATAAAATATGTTGTTTACATGTACAGTTGTATATGTACAGTTTATTATGAAATAAAAACGTATAATGCATTATGATCACTTCCTTTCATGAGTAAAACTGATGTTTTGAAAATATTTCACAAAGCACAAAATAATTTATTTGTTGTAGGTAGAATTAAGTACGGTTATTGAGAAACATTTCATCATATATCATATAATAAAATATGTCTGCTAACGGTGATAAATCTGCAGAGAGTCCTTCCAAGCTGGAAACTAAAATCATCAGACAAGTAGAGGTAAGTCAATTTTGAAATTGTAGTGGCTTGCAAACCTAGTACGTGTATACGTTTTCTAATGGCTGAGCTTTGTATAGCCGTCGACTAATGCTTACCTTGCCGCAAGAAGGTTGTAGTTTTTGAACCATGTTATAAATTAAAGGGTGTTCTCAAATTGGCAAAGTTCTTAAAAAAAAATCATAAGTTGTTTTATTTTAGATCATACACAGACTGAAAATGCAAAAAAAAAAATAATAATAACTTCTTTTCAACTATAGAAATTAAAAATCGATATTCACCTAGACGAAATAGATCTTTGAATACCTTTGACGTTTTAAGAACAAACCCAAGCAAGACAAATCTGATGAATTGATGCTTCAATGGCGTTCTCTTGGTCGTTGATTTGTTTTTGTTATGTGCACATGTGCATTAGCAGTGAGTAATTGGTAAAAACGGTTGTTCACACCTAAAAATAAATATTAAGGGTAATGTTTTCACAGCAGATCACAAACTTTCTGTGAGTGGCACTTGTGATCAGACATTCAAATACTCGTTGGTAAAAAATGTAAACATCATCAGTCTTGTCTGATGTTCCAATGCTTTGTATGGTTAAATACTTTATTTTCGCTTGGAATTTATTTTTGCTATTTTCGCTGATTCAGTGAAAATAAAATCCTGGAATTTTTTTTTTTTTTTTATATATTTTACCTTCAACTCGTCAAAAATCCATCAAAATAAATTCCCCTACAAAACGCCCAAAAAGTCTTTTCAGCGAAAAATTAATTCCAGCTAAAATAAAGTATTTGAGCAGTATTACATTATATGCATCCTTGTTAGAAATGCAACAGATTTAACTGGCTTCTTTCTCGTGTATCGTTTCCTGACCTGTAAAACTAAGCTTGCTGTTGATCTAATCGAGTCATAATGTTTGTGTTTCAGTATTACTTTGGTGATGCTAATTTAAGGAGAGACAGATTTCTGCAGGAAAAGTCCAAAGAGGACGATGGATGTATCCTTTTACAAAAAATTTTTTTTTCATGAATAATTATATCAAGTTCAAAACATAATTAAAGCGGGGAAGTCATCACCTGCACATGCGTCAGACAGCGTTTTGTTTACAAACAGGTGTCTACCCATGAGCCTTCACGTTTTTAGGGTGGATAGTTATCGTCGCTTAGCACTCAATTCTCGCATGCGCAGGTGACGACTCTGTTTTAAGGTAGAAGCCTACTCATCATTTTTGAGAAAGTTGGTCATAAATCGCATGACCATGTTCATTGGTTTATAATGTAAAATCGTAGAGCTACTATCCCATGGCACTGTGAAATAGCAATCTTTTGTGTGTTTACAGTGATGTATTTTGAGAAACTTGTCCTAATATTTTTCAAAAATCGCTATCTTTAGAAATATTTTTAAAAAATTCAAGAAATCAAAAAGTACCCCATCATCAAAGCCTACAATTTGAGACATGGCATAATATCTCTGCCATAAGAACCTTTGATAAAAGCACTATAATACTGTCAAAATGGCTGCTATCCACTAAATACAACTATGATTTTCCCAAAAATTAACCTGGTAATTTAATAATTTAATAACAACATGCAATAATTGTTTTAGCTGTTTTGTATTGGACAATAAGAATTATTCTTGTTGTATGTTACTGACATAGTATCCTGATCAATAATTGTCGCAAAGTTTCAGAGAGTTAATGCAACAACTATCTGATAAAAAGTCCATTTAGTAACATTTGTGGTACATTAGATAAACAACACATGTGCATAACCATTGAAGTAACCATTATTTGCATAATTTTTCCCAAAATGACATTACATAGTCGCCATGTGCTATCAAGTCGAAGAACTACATGTACATAAACTTTAAACATGAATGGTCTAGGCATGTCAGATATTGCACTAGAACAGCACTCATTAAAACAAGTTGGCCACCTATTTGAATCCAATCTGATAAACATCAAAGTCCCATAAAATCTAATGTATATGTATGTACCAAGTTCAAACAAATTCTGTCCATTCACAACCAAGACCAGTCAGGGAAAGCCAAAAATGCTTGATTTTGAATAGTATCGTGTTATAAAACGATGTGATGTACCTGTGAAGAATGACGCATGGTAACAAGGAGGTCAATCCATAAGTCACTGTTTTCAGGTTGTTTCCAAATGGAGACTAATTTTCGGAGTTCACATTCATGGCGTAGAGCAATTTCTATTTTTTTCCCTTAATCTTAATTTGATATGCAGGGATATCATTAGAAACGTTAGTAACGTTCAATCGACTGAAATCACTCTCTACAGATTTTAAAGTTATCACTGGTGCTTTAAAAAAGTCGCAGTCTGGATTACTTGAGGTAAGTGACATGAGGTAATCCATTTGCCCAACAAAATTGTTCTTGCAATATTTCAATAATATGTTTTGATAATTTTGGACTAAATGTACTATACTTTTTCATTTGCTAAAGTTTTTGATTAACATGCAGATTTAGTCTATGAAAGATGACAAAAGTTGACGTTAGCATCCAAATGTTTAAAACTCTGAATTTTAATCTGTAAATCTTACAGATCAATGAAGATGAATTGAAGTTACGTCGATCAACAGCCAAACCACTCCCTGAAGAATCAGATGATCTCCGAGCTGATATCAAAGCCAGAAGTGTCTACTGTGTAAGAGATATTATTATAATGCATTTGTCATCGTAACGGCATAAGTTACAGTGTGCTGTAATTTTGCAGTATTTCTACAGGGTATTTTCTTTTTAGCATATGAGGAAATGCGAATTCCAAATATGGAATAATTATGCACGTATTAAAGTGTTCTCTATTAATGAAAACAAACATGGCTGCCACCAGGCTTTGACTGGACTCCACACAAAGAAGTTCGCTTTGGATTTGGGCATTCCCATGGTGTATTCTAAGTAGGAAAAGATATATAATATAATTTATTTTTTTTGAAAAAGTTTGATTTGTGTGAAATTTGATTTGAAATATTTGTATAGTTGCATATCTCTAGCTGCATTATTAGCGTATAATTTTGCTCTATTAAATGCGCGCATCAACTCAGATTTATTATATGGTTATTTGAATAAGACTTGTTTTGACCATGATAGTTATGTAAACTCATATGATGCTATTAGAGCAAGTACCATATTGTGACCACAGACTCCCTTTTGTCGTCAACGCAAACAGCATACTCTACTAATACTGGAAATTATGATTTTCAGAAAAGTAAATCAAAGTATTTTGTAAAAGTTGAAATAAAAGTTGTATATTGAATTTTGTTGAGTTTGATCATTTTGAAGATCAATGATTTAATGTATAACCACAGTATTTGTTTTGACGTTGTTGATTACTTTTCAGAAAGGTTTTCCAAGTGATGCTACACTAGATGATATCCAAGAGTTCTTTGATGGTTATGGCAAGGTTGCGTTCATTCAGATGAGGAAGACCCTCGACACCAAAGAATTCAAGGTCAGTATTGTGTAATAGTAGCATTTTTTTTGTTCGCCCGCCCGTGATCACCTCTATCTTGTATACGCCTGGGCGGATCACTTTCAAACTTCACATGTACATCATACATCTTGGGATACATACTGTATGCACATCCATTTGTTTCATGCCTTGATTCAAGATAGCCAAATGGTGCCCATTTTTATGCTTAAAATTTAAAAATAAATGGATTTTATTCAAACTTAGTACATACATTGGACATAATAAGATACACGTCATCAGATCTGTTTCAAAATGGCGGAATGGCAACCATTTTTTTAACAGCTTTTTTTTTTGCCTTCAGTGACGTGATCATATTTTGCATCATGTGTTACATTGTTGCTGAAGCAATTAAAAAAAAAAAAAATTCAAATGTGACATTATTATGATTCAGATTTTCCGAATAAGGAATATGTTTGACTCATCCGTCCATGTGAATTTATTGTCCATCCTGCCATTGTGAGTCATTCTAACTGTACAATATATTATAGGGATCAGTGTTTGCAACATTTGAAGATGAAGAAGCTGCGAAGAAGTTTGTAGAAGCTGAAGAAATCAAGTTTAAAGACACAGAAACAATTAGAATGTTGAAGTGAGTCAAATCAAGTGTGTATAAAATTAAGGGGTCGCAACCTACTTGATGTGATGATCAAATCTCCTACTGAAGTCGAAGGGTATTGCATCTCCTAATAAATAGGATATATCTATTATATAATACTGCGAAAGACAATATGGTATGAACGTATTGTATGATATAGTAATTATAGAATGCTCATACTATGAAAGATGTAAGGATTGTAGAAAAAATATGAACTATTTAACTTAATAATTGAATGTATCACTGAGATATTGCCCAACATTTTTTTCTCCTTAGAAATGAATATTTTAAAAAGAAACAAGAGGACAGAAGAAAAATGAGAGATGATGAAAAGATCAAAAAAGTGAAGTAAGTGAAAAGTACACGTAATGATTAAAGTTTATCAATGATTCAATCTTGATTACAATTATTAGTGCCCCATGTAGTCATGTAGTTCTGCCATTTCGAAATCAGATCTTGTGCATCAATGTATTTCATTCAAACTTAGTATTATTAAAAATTATGGGTCCTTTTGATGCACAATATTTTTCCCAACATCGCTATGACTAAAATTTTCACACTAAAATATTGATGCAACATTGTGTTCTTTTCTCTAATATGTTAATTTTGAACCAAAGAGGTATATTTTGCATACACAATTTGATCAAATTTTTGACAAAAAATATGGAAAGAGTTTAGTAGGTTTATTTTGTGAAATGTGTCAAAAGTTGATATTGAAAGGATGAAGTGTTGATGTTGCCCTGGTAAATGTTTTTATATTTTATCTTTACATAACTGCTTAATCTATTGAAATACAATTATGTATTTGTTACGCATACATTTTCTTTTGTTTTGTAACTATTTTACTTTAATAAATAAATAACCTTTACTATGCTCAAAACCAGAATAAGAAATGTTGATTTTTTTAATGAGGTAATAAAGCAATTCTATCAAATTTTATTCTATTCTATATATTTGTATGCTTTGTTGAACTGCTTGTTTGTACTCATTGTTTTGCATCAACTCACTAATATTTTTTAATTTATATTAGAGACCAAGAAGAGAAAACAAAGAAAGCTGAGGAGGAGGTAAGAAATTACATCTAAACAAACAAAACAAAAATGTTTTTAAACATTGACGATGCAGGTTGACGTTTTGTTCAAAGCTTAAAACCCGTATTTCACGCATATAAAAAATCGTTTCAGTGATTTTTTACTAAATAATGATAAATGAAACTTAGAAATACTGTAAAAATAAACTTGTCCTAAAATTGCGTAAATCTGCAATCACGCTGCTAGTTCAGAAGGCGTTTTGCTTTTGATTTATATTTCAACCTAGTTCATACCTAAAATTCTGTGGGAAATTTCAAACTTCAAACACAAGTTTTATTATCATTATTATGTGTTAGTTTATGCTATTTCAAAGATTGAATTGTGTATGACATTAATATTTCACTAAAATATACTGGACATTTTCTAACCTTTACATGTGTTTTGGTGTTAAAGACACGTATAGTGATTTTGTCGTTATTTCTCCTAACCTCACCTTTGCAGCACACTCGGATAACTTTCCCTGATGTACCAGTTTTCTAATTTGCTGATAAAATTATATTTTTCACAACAACAAACTGCAGAGCGGATACATATGATAAATGGATTCTCAATTTGTGACTGTGATATGGGATTTATTAAAGGAGTTTAGTAAATTTTTTATGTTTCTTGGCTTGGCTTGGAACATAATGAAAATAACCATACTTGTTTAATAAATTTTAAATCACACGATTAGTCATTAGAGGCTCTCTACATGTATATATCAAACTGAAGAATGATTTTTTGCTTGAGGACATAATGTGAATGTGAATGGATGTTCATTATATACTATTCTCGGGAGCAAAGCTACATAATGATGTAGAAAGATAAACTGATATGACTGATATGTGTTATATTATTTAATGCATTTGCAAAACGTTTTTGATGTTTTTTCAAGAATTTTCTTCTCATAAATTTGTTGTTTTCAATAATAGGCTGAACAGCACTATGAGACTGGCTGTATATTATTTTTTAGTGGTGTATCAGAACAGACATCACGAGAAGATCTAAATGAAGTATTTGATAAACACGGCAATGTTAAATGGATTGACTTTGTCAGGGGACAGACAGAGGTATGTATTGTATGCTGTACGTCTTAGATACTTGGACAACTTTTGAAATTTGATTTAATGGATGGTTATTTCCAATATTAGCTCCCACATGCTCCCAACCTTTTGTTTTGGTTTCATTTTAAGGACATCAGAATTGCACTAATTCAGTATGCTATATTCTCAATCGAATTAAGTCCAAAAGAGGACTTATTGTTTGAAATATCTGTCCAGTGTTGTTTGTTGGACATTTTGTTCAACAATTGTTAACAAGAGTTAATTGAAGGCAATATGTTAGTCAATTAGTTATTGTTTTGTATACCTTTGACCTATTGGCAGCCTTATTTGTCTAAAAAAAAAACATTTTAAACATGTTGTCGACTGTTTCTCAGAAAAGCCAGGGCTTATTTTGTCACTGATAGCACTTACTATCGGTTGCTGATGCACATCATTTTGTTGTGCATTTGAACAAAATGATGGATGTTTTTTTTGTTTTTGTTTCAAGTGTTCTCCCCTGTTTTTCTGTTTCACCTATGTGAATTGGTACTAAGGCATGAAGTAATGGTTTCATATTCTCTTCAGTTGCATTGAGGTTTTGATGAAATTTAACCAACTAGCAGCCATTCTCGTTCCCCAAAAATATAACCAATTTGGTTGCCATTCGCCCATTTTGAATTGTATTAAACAATACAATATGATGTTCATCAGTAATTGATCTGAATGAGTCATATTGACATGGGTTTGTGCTTTCTTATAGGGATACATACGATTTGAAGGCAAAGATGAAGCCAAGAATGCATCTGAAAAAGCAAAGGAAGCAAATGGTGGAAAAATTACAGTCAAAGGAAATGAGATCACTTTCAAGGTACTTGAAGGCGATGAGGAGAAGAAGAAATGGTTAGAAACTTATGAACAACAAAATAAAGTTCGGCAGATGAAACGAATGGGTAAGCAAATGTTATGACACTAGTCATCAGTAATGTAGTTTCAGTGTTCTCCCCAGGCCTCTGAAGCGACACGGTACCGTGACGCTTGGACACTCGGCCGTGATGCTTGCCCTTTGTCCGTGACGCTTGGTCACTGGCCCGTGATGCTTATTGCTTTGTTTACAAGTGTCAGTCTCGTCTTGCACGAATTTAAAACAATAACATGTATTGATCGAAAGGTAATCCCGCTTTTGTTAGCCATACAAAGACAGTGATAAAAACGGAAGTCTGCAATAAGTTGCGAAGTCTTTCAAGGATGCAGAGCCGGGGTGCAGAGCCTCCAAATCCAAACAAAAATACTAGAGTAGCAATAATTTGCCCATTGCACGCAACGGCAACAATGTGACAAACAAGTCACAGCGTACGTCGGGAAGATCAACCCCGATTTGCTGCACTCCGATTTTTTATCACT